GTAGGTGCGTGTGCGCGCGTGTGCGTGCGTGCGTGCGTAGGTGCGCGCGCGTGTGTGTGTGCGTGTGTAGGTGCGCGCGTGTGTGTGTGTGTGTGTGCGTGCGCGCGCGCGCGTGTGTGTGTGCATACGTGCGTGCGTAGGTGCGTGTGCGCGCGTGTGCGTGCGTGCGTGCGTAGGTGCGCGCGCGTGTGTGTGTGCGTGTGTAGGTGCGCGCGCGTGTGTGTGTGTGTGTGCGTGCGCGCGCGCGCGTGTGTGTGTGCGTGTGTAGGTGCGCGCGTGTGTGTGTGTGTGTGTGCGTGCGCGCGCGCGCGTGTGTGTGTGCATACGTGCGTGCGTAGGTGCGTGCGTTCGTGCGTGCGTGCGTGCGTGCGTGCGTGCGTGCGTGCGCGCGCATGGCCGGCATGGGTGCGTGTAGCAATGCGTGAGAGTTGGGCAAGGTTGCAGCAAGGGAATATGGTATTTGTACGAGATGGATAGTAGGGCTTATAGTGGTGGATGGAGGGTGTTGGTGTGTTCGCTGCTGTCGTGACTGTATGTGTTATAAGATAGACAGTTGTGAGAAATTATAGCAAATCAACAAAAGTTGTTCCATTGAAAATGCGAATGAAATAAATAATGCGTGTTCTCGTCGTCGAATTACGGAGATCGAAGATCATTGTCGTGATTGTTATGCTTCTCGTGTTAACTGTTTTCATCCCACGGTGTCGATACGTTCTGTGTCTAAGACGTGATTAGTATTAGATTGATATCGGTGCCCTTTATCAGGTAGTCCGTCCCGTAACAGAAGCTTACAGTGTAAAACACCGTCAGCACACATTATTACCATAACATCCTACGCGGGTGCGTACTATTATCGTGTATCCTTGACGATGGCTATAACGCATCGCTGATGTTGTTTGGGTTATGTTTGCTCACCGTGCGTTTTGTCTTCGCAGGATATTTGCGCCGAAGTGCAAGGTGTGTGGCAAGCCGATCACTCCAGTCGAGGTGAGTTGTGAGCACAGGCGACTGGTTTTTAATTCAGATGCGGCGGGTATTTTAGCGTTAGAATGCATTTTCGCGGCAGCGGTCGCCGTCGTCGCGGTCCGCTGAGCCCTGGCCGCGAATTCGCATCGTTACGGAGCTGTGTATGCGTGCGTGCATGCGTGCGTGCGTGCGTGCGCGTGTAGTGCGTCGGTGTATGTGTGTGCGTAGTGCGTCTATGTGCGCCCGTACGTGCGTACGCGTGAATCCGCGTACGCGTGCGCGCGCGCGAGTGTGGGTCCTGTGAATTTAAGCTGTAGTTAGTAACCGCGATCTCCGTGTTTAGCGGAGAGTGACGCGGCCGTGGCGCGCTCATGAAGTTACTTACAACCCCCTCAGCCGGAGGCACACGTGCTGCTGCTGCTGGTAGTTACAGTGTACGTGCTGCTGCCACTAGTTACAGTGTACGTACATGCTGCCGGTAGTTACAGTGTACGTACGTGCTGCCGGTAGTTACAGTGTACGTACGTGCTGCTCTAACACTGCAGCCTCCTCCGTAACTAACACTGCAGCATCCTCCGTTTCTAACACTGCACCCTCTAGCGTCACGAAAACTGCGTCTATCACACCCCACCTACTGCGTAATTTGTCGCTGCGCCAAGCACATTAATGAAGTTTCTGATTGTTTGTCAACGAGAGATTAAATTACTAATGACATTTTAGCGCGGTTTAGCGGCATTAGTGGCAGGGTTCGTAGCGGGTCTTCCAAAGTCTTATAAGTACTTATTTTGCCAAAAATAAAATAAGGGCCCTTATTAGAACTTATTTTTGGTGAAATCTTAGAAAAGTACTTAATAGTTCTTATTTTTTGCCAAAGGACCATTTTTCAACATTTTCTGCGTTGAATTTCGGCGAAACGGCTTTATATAAATATTATTAGTGTACTTTAATAAGTGATCTATCAGAAATCGCGTAAAAAAAAGTTTTATTTTGGCCTCCAGAAAGAGTCTTATAAGTCCTTATTTCAACATGTGTCTTACTACTATGAACCCTGAGTGGGTTCAAGTGCAACGAGAATGCCGGACGCGATATGTGAGACCCACAATGTAGTAGGGTCGTATATCTAGTATCTACGATGTAGTAGGGTCGTATATCTACGATATAGTAGGGTCGTATATCTACGATATAGTAGGGTCGTATATCTACGGCGTATCACATCCTCACTCATCGAGATTATATCACGTCAAATGTGTCAAAATTGGCGGCTCAGTGAGACCTGATTTGCAACAGTAGCCGCTTTCTAATTAAACACCCGCCATGTGAGACCGAATAGCTGTCAGATCTAAGGCCCCAGTGGTGTTTGAATGAATCCCCCGCTGTGTGAGACCCTGCTTGAGTAGATGTCAAACCCGTGTCAGTAACTTTATTCGTGTAAAACCGCTGAAGTGTAAAACTGGGATGTCAGACTTATATGACCGTAACGTTCTTCTCGTGTAAATCGCACGGGGTATGAAACTGCGTATATCTCGTGGCGTTATTATGAAACCACTGGAGTGGGACCTGCGGACGTATGTGGATATTTCTGTTTGTCTCGCATTGGCATGTAATTATACCGCCTATTTTGTAATTGTTTTTGAAACGTTTGATTCTACTACAAACGCATCCGTGTTTCTTGTTCCGAAAAAAAACTTGCAGTATTTATTTTTAACCATCATAAATTGATCTATATCGCGTAAGATAACATGTGCGAACGACACAAAGTGTGTGTTGCGACGATAATGAAATCCGTGATATTAAGCGTATATACGATAAACTCGCCATGCTTCAATGACTGTTAGCTAGTATTTCATATAACGCCGTCTGCCCTGTAGCTGTTTTCATAAGCTTGGGCGATTGAGTTGGGCGACTGAATGGACACACTAGGCGATTTTCAGCGAGATTCATCGGCGATTTTTCTCCCGCTGCATCACTAAAACACTCGCGCCACCTAGATTGTTAGTCATATGATTGAAAATGGCACCGTTTGATTGGCTGATGAATTGTACATTCGGGCCAGTGGCGTAGCCACGGTCGCCCCCCCCCCCTAAGATTTAGAAGGCTACCTTATTTAAACCAGCAGGACTGTTTCAAGTCGATAAAACATGCCAACAACATGCACCCCCCTCCCCTAGATTTAATCCTGGCTACTCCACTGATTCGGGCGACTCATTCGCCGACCCGGACACACTATGCGATTGTAGTCGCGCGACTCAAATAATCGCCCGATTTTATCAAACATGTTTGAGTCGCCCGACTCGAAAATCGCCGGCGACTCACTGGACACACTAGGCGAGTTACGCGAAAATCGCCTAGTGTGTTGGGGGCTATATAGTCCCTCCCTCTGCGTGCTGTACGGATATGCGTGTAACCTGTACCGGAGTAGGCCATTCCCTGTGAAACCCCTGCTGCACGGAATCGACGATAGATGTCCAACAGAAGTCACTTCCTAATTGAACCCTTGGTGTGCGCGCAACTTTTTTTAAATGATGACAGATGATCGTACCGCGGTAACCAATTTTCTTATTAAAAAAACTCCCATGGTATTATAACGACGTGTAGTGGACACTGCGTCTCCTGGATGAGAGGAACTGCGAACAGCAGCTACTGCAGCGCTGCAGATTCTCTCTGTGGTTGGCGTGAGGTCTGGCTGTCTGATGAAGCTTGGCCATACGAGATGTTGATCGGAGCGATAACAGGACACGGCGGTCACTAGTCGCGATTAATCTTCTTGTAAAACCTCCCTAATTGCAGAGCATCCACAATCTGTCGTCGGTTCTGATACATACGTGTGCAGAGAGTGGTGGGCGGAGAGCACAAGCTGCTAACGTAATGTCGACCTGCTTCTCGGATACAAATGAGTGGCTTATTTGATGGCGCGCGCGTCCATTTCTAGCGTGTTTTCGCATCTTGTTGTCAAATTTTCGTTTGTTATTAATAAATTCCGCGCTAAACATTGATTACAGCATACACGCATGGTGAACCGCTGGGCCGGTGTACGTCCTGTAAGCCATTAAACATCTCGGGTTCTCCGCTTGTTCTCCTGCAGCTCTTCAGAACCAGCAACTTATAAGTGATATAAAGTGATAGCGAAATCTCAAGTTAGAGTGGCCGCATTCATAGCCTAGCGAAAGTGTAATTTAACTTCCCTGTACAAACCGTTTGCGTTGAACAGAAGTGTTGTCACGCGATGCCGCTCATCCAGTACGTAGTTTCAATCCTCCATGTGCGAAACCACGCAGCTGTTACTTTGTGTGGATAGAGTAGATTTCTGTGTCAATACTGGGGTTGAAGAAGTGATTTCGAAATAGTCGCACGACTCGCACCCATAGGACTAACTACGAAATCGTTTTCACGCTTTCGACATAATCATATATCTATCAGAAATTATTTAAAGCAATACTTGCTTACAGTCGAAAGATATATGAATTAGGTTGATATATCTACATATATGCTACAATATAATAAACAATTCGTGATCTAATACATGTAATATCTATCGTACGTAGTTTACAACATGTTTTATCATGAGAAATTTAGTACTTATTTCGGATATTTATTAGTGGTGATGCCATTCTCTCGTCGCCTTATGCTCTCATGCAGGTGATGTCATCCCTAATTTTCTATAATTCCTCTCATACTCTCTCCCAATTACACGACCGTATTATTTGAGGAGGCCGTCTCTCCCCGGGACCACCTCCTTGAACGCGCAGCGCTAAGGCAATTACCAAGATTGGCTCACTGATTATGGTTTCTCAGTAACAAACTCGAGCTTCGTTGAAGGCGCGCATTTATTAGCGCTGCTGGGCTCAGGTAATTTGTCGCAGTCATTATCCGCATGACACTTCACTTGGTTTTCCCCTTCTTCGGTCTTGGCAGGCAGCAGGCGGCCGACCGTTTGCCGTCATCCTATATCCGGTGCTCCTTCACATACGCCTCCGCCGCTGTATAAGGACACTCTAAACAAACCTCCCCCTCTAACATGCTATCGCCCGACGTCGGCGCTGTGACTAGTCTAGCTTTAGTTCACTCACTTACTAGTGCCTTCGGACTGCTTATGATTTGGTCAGTGCACGTGAAGTGATTGATTTGTATTCTATTTATGTTTGTATTTATATTTATGTTTGTTTGTTTCTATTCGTATTTATATTTATATTTATATTTATATTTATATTTATTAGAAATTAGCGTTTGGATGCGCATTGTGCGGCTTTAAAGGAATAATAGGTCTATTGATTATGCAATATTGACGAATGCTAGAGTAACTGGCACCTTGTGTAGTTAATAAGTACATTACCTTATAGCCAAACGCGTATTAGTTTGTCCAATATCACTGCTGGTTTTTACGAAATGTCGAAATCCGCAGTCCAAGAAATCAGTTGTTTTACAGTTTCAAACCGCTGCCGGCGAAGCGGGTGTGATACAGATTTATAGTGCACCGGACATTTTCGCACGCATGCTCGGCCGTACGCAATGCTATCATCAGTGATTTCGTAAACATGGACGCTCGCGATAAGGCACTTTTTGTCAGGGCTGTCCACGTGCGTCCGTGATTAGTACGTGTGTTTTACTCTATTTCCATGTTTAGTCCGTGGCCGTGGTTACACCACTGACACCTCCGTTTCATCTGGCGTCCGAAACATACGGGCCGCACAAATGTTTACGTCATCGCTTGACTCCTGGATGACATTTACGGCACGTAAATGATACGTTGATACATATCAACAACCGATTTCAAGTCTTGTTTGTAATGTAACCAGCAGTGATATTGGACAAACTAATACGCGTTTGGCTATAAGGTAATTTACTTATTAACTACACAAGGTGCCAGTTACTCTAGCATTCGTCAACATTGCATAATAAATGGACCTATTATTCTTTTTAAAGCAGCATCAGCAGAAGGAAATCGATTTGGTTTTTTTCTGGATGGAGCGTGAAATAACGTGTGATGGTCAGTGCGGGCTCTTGGTTAGGATTAGGTGCGATAGGATTATTGCCGGGGCAGCTAGCTGGCACGGTAACATCGGGCTGTGTCCGTCGAGGAATAGTTGATTTACGTTACGTTAATTTAGTTCATTACAGATCTATGAATATCAAGAAATTGTCGTAAAGTATGTCACATCGCAATGACGTGGACCGGTAACAACTATCACTATAATTAAAGTGATTACGTCACCGTAAAGAGTGAAAGTAAAAAAAATATGTCCACTAACATTCACAAAATGTAAGTGATTCTGTTCACTTTTTATGGTTAAAGTGCTGCATTATACTTCCTATTTTGCTATTTCATTCGATGTGAACAAACACTCGTGACTCGTACATAGCCCATAGCAAGCATTTAATGTCGTGATCAATATATCAAATCGCCCAGGTTTTTTGGATTTTTAACTAGTTGAGAAACAATCTCATCAGGTAAGAATTTGAGGATACATTTAGTCCCGTTAGTACTTACTTTTCATGTAAAAAAAATTCAAGACAAATTTTACAAATATACAAATAGAAAATTCGTGACGAAGTCTATTTAAAAACATCTTTCTAAAAAAATGTCAGCCTTGTGATAGACTACTAGGTCTTCACGCTTAGTTAAGTTTATTAATTGGTCCGGCATGGCCCCGGTAAAGCTATACACTTAAACATAATTAGCATGCTTGGAACGGATGGGATGTACTTGATCCGCAAACGTGACTTTCTGAATTGAGTGTGAAGTGTTAGGCTTAGTTACCGCCCCTATGTGGAGTGGCGGTAATAGAATAACATGCACGGAACCTTTTAATCGACCAACTAAAACGATGGTCAACGTGAACGCGAATATCGTGAAGCGAGGTGCGGTACACCAAGTACTCTTAGCCCTCGATTATCCGAACGAGACGGGCGGGAATTATTTTGTTCGGATAACTGATCTGATCGTAAATAAAGGAACCCATACTGAACATAATTACTGTGCGTAAATAAAGGAAGGCAGATTACGTCAGCAACTGTACCGACTGTTTCCAGTCCGTCTGTTTCCAGGCAACGTTACGTCAAACGCGCGCCGCCTATCTAGCTTTGTACAGCGCTAAACAAAGGAAAGGTGAAATCTTTCTTGTATATCTTCAAATATCTTTTCTTGAATTATGAATAACACGAATGAATTTAAATATTTAATTTAACGCAGTGCCTACGCGTCCGGTCATCCATTACAAAACTCAGCACAGATTCCCAAATCACGTCACGATTAGGCCACGCCGCCTTTCAAATCGTTGATTTTACTGGATTTACTATTGCTTCAAAAGTTACAAAAACACATTTTTTTGATAAAATACCTAAAGGTAAGTAATATTATGGTAAACACTTATTGTTTATTGTTTTTTAACTGTCAAAATATAGTTGGGTTCACGTGAGAAATATATGACCGGACGCGTACCCTGTGAACTGGACGTCCGGTAACCGGACGCGTAGCCACGGTCTTAATTTAATTATCTCAAAATAAGCCTTCAGTTCGGTGCAATATTGAAATTAGCTTGAATTCTTCATAGCCTCTGAATAGTGGGTGATCCAACGTGTCACGAGTGGTCTAGTGGCTTATTAAATATTCACGGGACCTTGAGATCTTGTTCGGATAATCCGAAATTCGGATAATTGATGTTCGGATAACCGAGTTTTGACTGACTACACAAACGCACACATGCACGCACACACGCACGCGTAACCTCTCTTTGCTGATGTCATTACTGCGCAGCGAGAAATACTACTGCATTTCTCGTTCTTGGTAAGTTAAAGCAAGTTAGCGAGTGAATGCAATCGCGGAGCCAACGCTGTCAGGGTCGCCGGCAAAACGATATACCCGATGCGCGGCCCAGCGGCAGAAAAGTAATTGTATCTCTCCGTGGAAACAAGATATACTTCAGGTTCTACTCGGAGAAAAACTCGTGATTGTATTTGCTTAGCCTTTGAGGTGTCACTTCGATTTCGACGTGTGTTGCGCGATAGGATATTGCAATTCTTCCAGGGGTAAAAGTCGAGCGGTTTTTGGTTTTTGGTTTAGATAGATCTAGAAGGACACGTGTGGTTTTTCTTTTAATCAGGGTCGTTGTTGTGTCAAACAGTATTCGTTTCAATGATATTGACCCTTGTGATGTAAAAAAAAGATTGGTTACAGACAGGCGCCCTGTATGTTATTATAGCTTCCGCGTCTGGCTTCCACCAAACGAAACAGGTTGTCCAGGTTCTTCATCAGTTCTGTCATACATAACGCCTATAAAATACGCCCATATGTTACACAATGCAGCTTTTTGTGTATATTCGAAATGAGAGCAATCTTTGCCTAGATCGTGCTGCCGCCTACTGGAAAACACATTCTTGACAAAGTACCCTGACTCTAGGCAGTTAGACGCCCAGCATTAGCACTGACAGCTGGGTTGCGCTGATAATAGGTAGCACTACAATGTCCTGTTCGTTTGAATATTTGCATACTATTAGATATGAATAAAACCTATTCGTGTTTATTCACTCATGATTCTAAGTATGCACGAAAAATAGTTATTATAGTTGACTATTTGAACTAAACTGTGCTGTTTTCCTTTAACTAGGGTACAGACGAGACGGTGCGTGTGGTTTCTATGGACAAGGACTTCCACGTTGATTGCTACCAGTGTCAAGTAAGTCAACTAGACATAAGGTTGAAAGCATAGTCAATGCGTGTATCTTTTAGTCAAAGATAATATAGCTGATAGCAGTTCCATGTGTATTGTTACAACTACAAATTGTCACTACGGATAACAGTGAATCTTCATTCGTAATTATGCTCGCCCGATTGTTCTCGTTTCGTTCTCTGGAATCATTTTTGCTTCAAAATACTAGTATTTGGCAATGTTGGGAGTGAGTTTCGAGTGAGAAGTGCGGTGCAAGTTTTATCTATTCGTGTTGTTATTAGCATCTGTGATACAGAGTTAAAGTTAGCTTATAGTTTTCTCATGGGCAACCTTTCTAATATATGTACTGGGCGATTGTGTTTTCGTAGTATACCCATCCAGTATACCGCTATGACCACTAGTATGCGGCCGCTCGCCATCATGATTTTGTCATCGCGCGTGTATAATGGTCGGTTTAATATAATAATTATATATAAATAATTAAACGATAATACACAATGATATAAATATATCGGTGTAAGTACCAGTGGTCGTCTCCCATTGCGGTGTCGTGGGGTTAATGAACATCTTGTTGTTCCTGAACATAAGTAGTCGTCTACCATTGCTGTGTCGTGGTGTTAATAAACATCCTTGTTGTTCCTGAACATAAGTAGTCGTCTACCATTGCTGTGTCATGGTGTTAATGAACATCCTTGTTGTTTGCGCGTGGCAGGACTGTGGCATGCAGCTGACCGACGAGCCCGACAAGCGGTGCTACCCGCTCGGTGACCACCTCCTTTGTCACGACTGCCACATCAATCGCATCGAGCACAAACGCGGCGGGCCGCCAGGACGGATCAGCGATCTCTGACCTGGTCGTGACCTCTGACCTGGTTGCGAACTCTGACCTAGTCGCGACTTCTGATCTAATCACGACCTCTGACCTAGTCGCGACCTCTGATCTAGTCGCGACTTCTGACCTGGTCGCAAACTCTGACCTGGTCACGACCTCTGACCTAGTTGTGAACTCTGAGTGAACTCTGGGAACTGATCCCGCGAGCAGCATCGTTTCGCTGTGGAATGGTGGTCAGTTGTGATTGCTGGGATCAGCAGCAGAAGCCCGATTGACCGCTAGTGTTGGCTCGCAGACGAGCGTATAAGCTTCAGCTCTCAGAGCGAGAGAGGCCAGACGGACTATTTTCATCTCTGCCGAGAGGCTGGTGTACATTTAGTTACAGCAGAAGACGGACAGACCTTCTCCACGGGTGGCCGATGAGAAATACAATATTCCAACAAGCACAACGAAAGTAGCTTGAACAATCAGCGGCTACTATCTTAACAGCCTTGCGTAGGAGGAATGATGTAAAGGTCGGAGATTTAAGGAAGCCAGTTGTTCGTGTCACAAAGCTGTCTGAGACACATGTGCCCCCAGGCTTGTTCGTCTGTTAAGAAACGGATGTAATTTCATCATGTCAGTCGCATATAATCAGCCGATAACAGGCGTTGGTGTTTTTGCTATGATAAATCATGTGCCTAATCAATGATTAATACTAAGATAGCATTGTGGAACTTGCAACACAATACTCTATGTGCTCATACAAGTAGTAAACTAATGCTGAGTTGTAGTGATGTAACTTATGCAGACTGAATGTACCTTCGCGCAAGATCTCAATGAGTGGAGGCATACAGTTTGCTTTTGTCAATGATAAATAGTTGAGCAGATCATGGTGATGATTAACTGAAACATATCATATAACTTCATTGTCTTGCTGCGGATTTATCTGTGGTGTGTGTTACGCAGATTCTAACTCCTCAAAAATGATTAACAAACCTAATGCTCAAATTTTTTGTCACCCAAATCTGGTGTAGTTATTTAGGAAGGCAATGCTTTCAGTTGTCTTTCGTACTGGAACTATGAATAACTGTTAGCCATGCCGTTTAGTTTGATATATGATGTGTCTGCATGGTTTGTCTCTCTATTCTGCTTTTGTAACTTGCATGCGGCTAGTTATTGCTGAACTCCCCCTATAGGTGGTGCTGGTAGTAACAAATGTCCATCCACAATAACTATGCTGCTTCTCTCGGCTGCAACTGTATCCGCCAATGCGATATAGTCGTGTTGAATAGCCCAGCATTTGTGATCATTGTGATTCTTCAATCCCTGTATAGCCGGATGCCTGAAGGTGAGCCAGCTATATGCCGCGATGCAGAAGTAGGTTGCAAGAGAGAAAATCGGAATTGCGTGCAGTTATATATAGTCCGAATGTTTTTTCGCAAGCCGGTTGTCATGTCTTCGATTTGTATTCGGTCGGATACCTACATGCGACTGTGTAACATTTAATCAGTTCAGACGAAGATGGCCGTGGGCGGGTAGCTGTGATGAAGTACAACATGATAACGAACTTGAGTCAATCCTTGCATTTTTATGGTGCTGGTTTGGTGTGCAGCGTATTTTGTACAAAGTGGTTTTCTGCTGACTCACCGTCCTGATTTCCCATGCCCCACTGCGGTTCTTATGCTTGCTATGTTTGTGTGGTCTGTCCTTCGAGTTTGTGTGAAAGAAGAAAAGCTGCTCTGGCAATTTTTAGTATATTTGATGCTATAGACGTTCAACGTGGCTTAGCGATCAAATGTAGAATTATTTGCAGTGTTCCGTCATTATTGTAATATTCCAGAGGAATATTATCTGTAAGGCACGCGTCTGTATGATCTGTAATATGCTTTTGCTTATTATTTGTAAAAAAAAACTGCATTCTTCTATGACACATTTTTATTAACACCGCTGCGATGGCTCAATAGTAGAGTGCTCTTCGCCTCGCATGCGGAAGGTCGTGGGTTCAACTCCCGGCCGGGTCATACCAAAGACTTGAAAAATGGTACGCACTGCTTCTCTGCTTAGAACTCAGCAAAAAGATGTTTGATGGAAACTGCGGGAACATATGGAGTAGCGCCTTATGTTTCCTACTACATGCGCAACCGAAACCCCTATGAAAAATTAGGGGCGTCTTGAAGGACGACTAATTATTATTATTATGCTATGACATCGTGTAATGTAGCATTTTATTCACTTTTGCTGCTTATTATCGTGTATAAAACTGAATGCTGTGACGCACACTGTGCTATTTTTTCAGTTTCACCGTTATGTTGCATATAAGTGACCTGTATAGTTTTGATTGAACATGGTAGTCATGATTAATTCAAGTTGGAAGTGCGTGGATTGGAGTTTTATTGCTCTTTTGTTTTCCCCGTTTCATCTGTAAATAATCTAGACATGTTGTGAAGATTGCATAAATTAGGTAATCTACAAATGTGTACACATTATATCTGTCTCGTATCTGCTATATGTGTCCAGAAATAATGTACTCTTTGAGAAATTACACTTGCAGTTTTCGCACTGCAAGCTTATCTGTCATACCTCTTTTCTACACGTGTAAGGTTGCTCAAACTCATCAGCTGTAGGTGTGCGGCAACACTGTCGATCATTTGCGTTATTAGTAGCGCTGAGAGGGTCTATGTCCCCCGGGGTATACCGGAACGTACCCTGGTACTATCTAATATGCCGGACCGTACCTCGCCTACTTCACTAACGAGTCTAGGAAGTCGCCTACGCCTACTCCCTAACCCTAACTATAACCCTAACCCTAACCCTAACCCCTAATCCTAACCCTAATCCTAACCCTAACCATATCAAATAGTGACCAGGGTACGTTCCGGTATACCGGACCGTACCCAGGGTTCGTTCCGGCAGTATCCTGGGGGACATAGACTCTATGAGCATTAGTAGCCGTGTAAGTCCATAGCAATCCATGTCTCAGCAGATTGTAATGAACTACCATGTTTGCAGCCGTCGATGCGTTAGCAGTGTGATATGTAAGGTGGGCATGTGCGTGCGCACAGTAATAGCGAGGTGTACGCTGTGTATTCATGCGACTATGCGCATACAGCTGTGTGCTGCATCGTGTGCGCATGTATGGGCACACGAGATTGTGTTAGTGTAGGGCTAAATATAGTCGGAAGCCATTTTACTGTAACGGCTGTAAACGCCGGTAGTATTTATTACGCTGTGCTGAGTGAGCACTTCCTTTTAGAACGAACGATGTCGACAGAAACGCTCCTGTTCAAATGGTTTAGTTTTTCGAAGAGCAACGGCGGATAAATCGTTTATATGAATATATGTTAAAGGTATTTTAAATGTTGATTTTATTCGATTTTAATTCGCAATCTAAGCGCCATAGTTTACGTAGATCCGTAGTCAGTTCGAAGTTTATCTATGCATCATGTCATCGCCCGTAATCGGTAGATGTCGTCAAACATCTATATTCTTCATGGCTTCAGCGACCCTGATACACTGATATATATATATATATATATATATATATATATATATATATATATATTGGTGTTTGTACATTGCCGCACCCCCATCCAACAAATCTCTTACCGTTACTATAGTTACACGATGAATAGTAGCCATGGTTGGTCGTAGCCTGAGAACAATATACATGTACAATGTAAACAATGTATATATATGCCGTTCTCGGGTCGTCGGGAGATTTTCACTGTGTATAAAGTGTGATATATACTTGGTGCGTGTCTGGATCGCGTGGACGCCCGACAGTGCTTAAGCTTGCTGCACGGTTGACAGCTTGCCGTTTATTTAATGCCTATCCGCTATTAGGGGTTGTGTGTAGTCGGGCGGCGGCTGTCATCATACAGTCACGGAAAGTAGTCCGACCGTTTCGTGTGCGCTGCGGGAGTTTTGTATTGGTTCTTGGGGACCGTCGAATTAAAAAAGTCTCGCCTTGAGTGTGCATTCGTTGATCTGGTATGTCAATGGCGATGCTAACTTTCAGTTGAGTGCGCTGGAGCCTTCATAACGCGTCCGGGCTAATTCTTTGAAGTATCTCGAGCCACGCGGCATGCGAACATTTTTCTTTCGGCCGATGATTAATTGCGACCGTAGTTATTTACCCGAAGCCGTTAAGATTGACGGAGCGGTGCGCGTGAGAACGGTCGGCCGCGTGCGCGCCCCTAGAGCGCTAGCCACTAAGATGTCAGCATCTGTGAGAGGTTGTGCAATTTCGCTGGTGTATGTTTACATGAATAAACCTATTTTTTATAAGTTAGCTGAAATTTTGCTGTGATGTTCTCCAAGCCTGATGTTCAAAACCTGACAGCTGAATGATTTCCCATGCGGCTAGGTTTGCCCACAGAAATCCTATTCTATTCTTCTTGAAATGAGGTTACTGCAGATCCCGCTATAACGTTCAAACGCTTGAAAAACATGAACATATATGTTGGCTCGTTGAAAAGCTTGTTGCGTGCGGACAGTCAGACCTGTATATGATGGTCAATCAATAGAAACCTGTAAAGTGTCTTTTATAGACAGGCGTCCGTACCATAGAGGTGTCCATTAACATAGACCTGACTGTCGCTCAGATCTGTATATACGGGTCATTTCATGGAAACCTGTAAAGTGTCCTTTATAGACAGGCGTCGTTATATTATAGAAGTGTCATCCTCTTAGTTTGTTTTTTAGCTTGTGTTAGTAGTGAATTGTAAACCTGTGTCCATTGTCCGTTATTGTGTAGCATCTAATTTCATTATCAAATAACAGCTTGACATTCGTAATTGAAACTTAACGTTAATATTTTTTACTGTAATTTTGTATTATATGGCAGCTGCCGGCTCCGTGACTGCTCACTGTGTCGTGCAGTAACTGCAGTTTACACGTACCGATCCCGGACATTTCATTCCCTTAGAGAACTATAATTAACGTGCTACGATCACATCACGCTACCACTATCAACAATACAATACCAATACAAGGCAATATTAACATCGATATAAAAAAACAATTAATCTTCTCATCATAAAACCAGCAACATTGCAATGTAAAACCGCACACCTGCTGCACATAGTAACATGGTTGTACTGTGGCATTGCGTTTATATATATATATATTCGTATTTTTCTTATAACAATCAGGTTTTCGCAAAGTGCAAGCACTGCTGATATTCTGCAGTAGGAGTAGGTAGTAATAAATAACAAGGTGAGCGATCGACTTCCACGAATGTTGTCGGCAGATGGCGCTGCCAGAGAGATATACTCCGGGCAACTCCGGAGAGAGAATAATATCTGAGCCTACCGTTAGCAAATAACACACAGGACCCGGTTCCACAGTCGTGGATTAACTCTTAACTCTGAGTTAGTGAATTAAAGTTAATCCACGACTGTGGAACCGGGTCCAGGTGACTGGGTGCCGGATACATTCGACACGCCCGATTAAGACTTTGGTAGTAAATACATTTCGTGTTTATTTACGTTTTTTATTGAGACATTCCAAGTGCCTCTGGATAAAATTCCGGATTCAGACACCATATAATACTGAGATATGTTGTCTCCACAAGGCTCCACCACCGACGCAACGACAGAAATAAGAATTACTGAGAGAAAGCTATACGATTATGATACATAGAGGAATATACCAGCGTCATCTGTCGATGCGGACGATATGCGGCAGCATGGACTTTCTGGTGACTTCATGTAACTATATTGATACCGCTTTTCTATACTAGACACCAGTAATGAGCATATTTCGATATAAACCCAATTTTTTTTTTAATTAATGGCCACACATAGTACATGACTTTACTTACGTACTACGTGCGTACTTACGTTAATTGATTTTTCTCGTTATTTACCATTATGCCTACGATTTCCCATAATTCAATTTAATTTAGATAATATAGTAGAATTTATAAAACACCGATCGCCAACTGATAGGTACCCAACATGCGTAATATTTAATTCAAATAATAAAGTAGAATTTCGAAAGTAACAATCGTGGCAATCGGTGACTGATTGGTGCCCAACATGCATAAAATTTAATTCAAATAACAAAGTAGAATTTCTAAAATAACAATCCTGGAAATCAGTGACTGATGAAATCCACATACGCACAGTAGCACGGGTCATGTGCTTGCAATACTTGCAGCACCCTCCTAATATCCGACGCTCAGCAAGCAACACGTATAGCAGATGCAGCGATGCAAGCCAAATAGGAACAAGATAAATGCCTGGCGGGCCTCTGAAAATACGCGCGATGTAAACAGACCTGCAGTAGCCTCTGCTTGCTCAACAAAGACGTATTCACCCCGCTCTTCCGATTCCTGACTGACGACGCTGCACCTAATGCGTTAACTCCGACGCGGGTCAGACGGCGGTTACGTATCGGGAAAAATCACGCAGATATAACGTATAACCATTATAGTTAAAGCAGCTATATATGTAAATCGATTCAGTAATCGGCCAATTCACGCCGTACTAGTATATCTTACGTACTATGCAGAGCTTTCCGTCACCAGCCTCCTGACTAGGGTGGACTGGAGAGGACAGGAGAACTCGCGCCTCAGTTGACTCTGTGATTGATTGTAAAAACCAATAATGACAGCCAATATCACTACTTGCGCATCTACTGGTGACTTTGCTTTAATTTTGTTTTTGCGTGCATAAGAAATATGCAATGTACATTACTTTCTCAGTTGTTGAAGATTCTCTACGGCAGATGGCGCACGTTACCGCTAAACTGTCGCCGATGTATAAGATCAGCAAAGACCGACCGGTATATAGGTCTTAGATCACACCAGAAACGATATAGTGGTAATCCTCGCGTCCAGACGCCGAACTAGTATTTTTGAAAGGGGTGGGGCTGTTAGCAACTAGCGACTAGAGTTCGACGCGTGGAGGGAGGAGCCTGGAGGAGGTACTCCCCCAATTTAAAATGTTTAATGCAGGCAGTTGTATTTGATGCTTATCTGAGTACAGTTTTTGTTTTGCTATAACTTGTAATCACAGTAATTCATTTCCAGAGTACACTTTCCTTTCTCACCTAACTTCACTCACGTAGTTGAACCGACCAAGGTCAACTTGGTACTGCTGCGACACATTGGGACTCTAGAAGAAGCAAAGAATTCCATAGATATTTAGAAGTGTAATAGCCGAAGAATACGCATATAAAGTACAGTACCAAACGAACAAGTAATATTAGCTACATTATTAGTAGGCCTATTTCATACAGCCGCGCGATGCCATTTCTACACATAGCTAAGCGCGCTCTTCTTGTTTACGAAAGCACTGCTAACAGGCGGGGGTGGCTAACCACACAATTCCATGCCCCTCCCTCTTCGTCTGCCACTGCAGTCAGTAACTAACAGGGATGCCGCACACGAGCCAGCTGTCCGCGAATTCGGAGGTGGGCTCGCCCGTCTCTTTGTATTCCGTTATTATTGAAACAGCATTGTGCACGTGTCAACACACCAATGCCCGAATCAGGGTCGACTGGTTACATCATTCTCATTAGTTCACCCCGAAATTTTCATTGTGGCGGATGGTACATACGACCGACGCGGAATACAATAGTGTAAATCCGGATGAAACGACGTCTCTGTCAACTATTTTACCTATGTCTTGTTCGTTTTAATTTCACGTTCTGCGGCTAACGCTCCATTAGGAGTGTTCCCAACTTTGATATCATCGATGATTAATGATTAATGATTAATGATTGATGATTGATAATCCTAATCCCTAACCCTAACCTAAATGACATTAAAGCCGCACAATGCGCATCCAAACGCTAATTTCTTCAGTACTAGACTAGCAAATACTTCGTGTCATGCATAATCATACTACCTTATGGCAAAATAAACTCTAGTTCCTCCCATTTCACTGCGCGTTGTCTTATAAAAGGTATTTTGAAAATACCTCCGATGTTGTTGACAGTTCCCAATCTCCAAGCAACCGTGCAGCGGTGCCGCGGTACAGCGGTTTATATATATATGTGTGTGTGTTATTATCACCATTAATGACCAGTTAATGAATGACCATTAATGAATGACCATTAATGACCATTAATGAATCAGTTGGGAACACTCCTAATGGAGTATCACCCTATTCTGCAGCCAGTAGCGGTAAATCATGGCGCTGACTGACCTGCGCTCTAATAACAATGCAGTTCCTTGTACACTTACGTTTACAACTTTGAACGTATATAAGGTTTCGCCATGTCCCGCTAATCATGTAGTACAGTGTTTCCCGCTTTACCGGGCCCTAGATAAACGGACACATCCGTCTTTGAAAAACCGTCTTTTAAAACGTATCCGTCTTTCAAACACGTCGTTGAAAAACCATTCTTTTGCACGTTGCTATGTGTTGAACGCTTAATCTGGACCACCGCTTAATTAGGCCATTTTCGTGGTTCCTGGCCTGTCCCGATACGGCGGGACCGCTGTACTAGAAGGCCCTATATAAATGTACAAACACGAGTAGAAATAAAGGTGTGATATACAGTCATCTGGTGGAATGCAGTCCATAGGTGCCGCTGCTGTGTCATTGAGATCATTTCTCACAGACATCGTCGAATTTCTAAACCAATATAAAATTCGATAATTTAATAACATAAATAATGAAGTCAATATGATGAATACAGGACGGGCAATTAAAGAAGAAGAATACGAAGAAGAAGCATGGAATCACCTTGCTGACTAAATCTAAAATTCACAGCAGGTACAGTTCGTATTTTGCCATCGATGGTCAATACGATAGACGTAGCGAATATTTCACAGCTGCACGGATCTCTCGCGGCCACGCGTGCTTTGTCCGTCGGTCCGATCGCCACACAGCACGCGTCAAATTTCGGCTGCGAACAACGCCAGCTGCCATCTGCAGCAGTTGCGTGGCAGACGGCGCGTCAGCTATGAGACGCGCGTTGTGATTGGTCCACCCAGCAGACGACGCGCCCGTGACGAGACGCGCGCTGATTGGCCCTGTCTGATTGATTGATAATACTGACGCGAATAACGGGAGTGTTCGCCAGCCACCCGCGTCGCCGCTACAGCCCGCAACACTCTGCTGACCAACAAAAAGGACCATCGTCGGCTTCTTCATACTACCTCTGCGTGATTCCGTGTTGTTTTCTTTCGCCAGGACAGCGAAACTGGACAGCTTGTGGCGGGCAGCGTGACGGCGGGGAGCCAGGCGGCACCGGATACATAACTACCGCGCTTTTTAGTGTGTTTTGTATGCTCGCTGTGATCTAAAACTCTTCACCATGGGTTGTACTATGAGCCAGGACGAAAGACAGGCGCTCGAACGCAGTAAAGCCATCGAGAAAAACCTTAAAGAGGATGGTATAGCTGCCGCAAAGGATATCAAGCTCTTGCTCTTAGGTTAGTATGGTCTTATATCATCCGTTCGGGTGGCTACTCGCGCACAACGCCGCTGCGTCCACACCCTGAATGAGGGATGCGAATCGTCGACGCCATTTTGTTTCTGCAGCTGCCGGCATCCACCCTGAGCACGTAATCGCCGCCCTGGCGCAGTGATCAGCGCGCGATCAGTTGAGTGATTGATCGATTAAGCTAGTTTCGTTAGAATGACAGATTTCGCGCTCAGCCCTGGGCCGTTAACCTGCATAGACCTTTCGACAGCGGAAAGAAGCCATTCCGCAATATTTTTTTAACACAATGCTGATTGCATATGGCGGAGCAGATATATGTTCTTTTCGCACTTCGCAAGTTTTTCTCGGCTGACAGATGTTTCAATCGTGTTGTTTAACAAAAGCTATTTGGAGAATAAATAAGCCAGTTAGCATTTTTAAATACAGAAAAAAACTAAAACGGCAAACAGTTTCTAGGTCAGCCACCTTATCAATCATGTATGCATATATATTTATTTATTTATATCCAGTATTTACTGTATCTATGGCCAATTTCTCTGTCTGGGTTATGAGAATTATGGCCCAGAAAATATGCTAAGATATGAGAAAATATACGTACACGTGTACGTGAGAAACCTGTACACGTTTGGTCACGTCCTCTGCGGTGTCAGGAATATTATAAATACCAATATTTTATCGCAAATTAATGTGCCAGTTTGGTGTTAGTAAAGGCACACACTGAAGATTGGTTGAGATTTGGCAGGGCGCGTTTTCTCGGTTTCCTCCGCTAGTTACCCCAAAACAGGTACTTTCGTTACATGCAAGCAGTAATTAAAGCACTGATAGGTCGTGTGTGATATACGTGAGACTAAACATTTCGTGATTTTTTGCCTTACAGGCGCCGGAGAGTCAGGGAAGAGCACCATCGTTAAACAAATGAAGTAAGTAAAGATGTGTTTGAAGTCGAAACATTTAGTTCCCGTTTTCGAACTTTATTACGGGGATATAAACTGCACTCATTATATGACTGAAACGTATTTATCAAAATGCCCAGCTTACAGGAAATTTATATTTCGTTAGATGTCCGCATAATCAAAAATATGTCAATAAACGTTTACCAATTTTGTGGTCATCATTTGTGGTTATAACATGAACGTATAGATCTGCTAAATGAATTGTGTGGCTTCCATGTTTTTGTGGTCATATCCTATGCCCACAGAAAGGGTCGGGTCCTGTGCCATTCATGCGTCATACGACCTACCACATGTTCACTGTACTCTATCGAAGTATAGTAATTAATCCGGCTGTACAGTAACGCGGATATCCTGTTAGCTGTTAGAATACGGTTCTATTTTATTGGAATGTGTTGGAAAACAGGATATAATCTATTACTAATAATCTAATAATGTAATCCGTAGTCTATCTACACAGCTAGTTAGCGAAACACAGGTGCACTACTTTGTCAGTAAGCCTATGTAGGGAACACCGACAAGTATAAGAACATGACATAACACATGTAGAGCGTAGCAGCATTGAGCGACGCTAGCTCTCACCTGCCCAGCAGATGCGCAAAAGATTTGGATCAGAAAAGTAAAGATTTTGTAAACGTGTTCCGATAGCGGGCACAGGCACTGAACCTGGCATTTTCAGGATGGGACATTTTACAAGCAACGGGATAACAGACGAGAGCCGGCTGGTGGTCTCTTGTTTTGAATTCCATCAGCTGCCGTCGTACGCATGGCTAAAATTTCGGAAACGCAAAGACTAGCGATCGTTCAGAATATCATACTCAACCCGACCATCGTTTTTACGACGACGTGCGCGGTTAGTTTATCGGTTCTCATCCGGGTCCTCCGTGCACGGGCTGCACTGTGACACGCTGTGTAGGCGGTGGCGGTAGCGGTGGCGGCCCCGCATCTCGGTATACGCATGCGATGGTAAACAGACATGTGGCGCAACGCTGAGACAAGAAAGCCAGATTACCCCATGTGCGAATGAGAAAGAACAAAGCGCACATCTGCGTGCCGTGTCTTCCCTCGTGGATGAGCCTCCGGTACACGTCTGCACGCGTGCCCAAAACATTCGGCTCCATTTCTAATCTCGTTTCTAATCGTTTCTATGTCATACGATCCCGTATGAAATTCGCGCAAATTCACCGTGCGTGTATAGTACGTAGTAGATGGCCGATGTGTTATTGTGTGCACCGAATGCTGTGGTGACATAGACAGAGTGCGCGCAGGCGCGGGTATGGTTCGCATTCCGTATGATTTTCCCCCATGAATGACAGTGGCTCTCCTCCCTCCAATGACACTCCGCACACCTCCTCCCCCCCGGTATTCGATTATAGGAAGAACTAGCGTTTCATCTTCGCATTTACGCTGCTTGTTAGCGTCTAATCACTATAAATACGCGCCGCGCCTACAAACGAATCGATCGGCCGGAATAGGAGATACTATTTCTAGTTTTATAGGGGAGAACTGACGATTCCCCCATGTATGAATTAAACGTAAATTGTTGCGTCGAAAGTATGTGTGTCTGTCTGCCGTGATCGGGATTGTGCCCTGCGTGTGTCGCCATGTTCACAATGAATGACTGATAGAGTCAACTGGAAGAGTCTGTGCCATGGACGAGCGTGTAGTGGCTCCTACAGAACCTAATCAACCCTCGCTCTGTATCTTTGGGAATTTCCAGAGGACTAGGGGCTAGCGTAAACAATTTTTCAATAGTCGTAAGGCCGTAACGGGTGCCGGCCGATCGAGGATGCATTCTCCGTAAACCCTAAAGGCTGTAGCAGCTGTAGCATCTGTGCGCGGACGCCTCTCTCCGTCATAGAACCATCTAGTCCACCCCCTAACTACTAACCTACGTTCGACTATCCTGTAAGAATGGTCTCCTGCACCTCTTTGTCTCAAACGGAGCAAGTCACCGCCGTGCTGTAATTAGGTGGCAATTTCGCTACAATGGCGACGAGATGCTGATGGATCAGTAGGGTGTGGGGCGAGGTAAGGTCTTAGCCTAGCATCATTGCTTTGTCCAGCAGGCAGACACAAGGCCGGGAGTGAGCCGTGGGCAGCGGGGAGGGTTGTTGTTGGAGCGAGCTCTTGTCATTGTCGCTCTGCACTCTGCTCTCCGTTTTTATCGCGATTCCATTTGTAAGTCAAACATTGTAAACGCGCTGCGACGCCGCTAGACTTCCTCAGCCAGTCACTGCGCGAATGTTCGGTCGTGCGGTTATTTCATTCAGTGCAGCATGTACTCGTACAGGAGATACCATAGAATCGTATAGGAAATGCACGTGGCCGTGTACGACATCAGGAAGTGTGTATCAGGAAGTGCTAATTGATAGTCGTAATATATGTATCAGAAGTAGATAATAGGGAAGGAGTGTGACTTCAATAAACAAGGGAAATTCGTCATTTACTAGCCTTAGAATACTTACGATTTACTACGCGTAATTCAACCAACTTGAGCTCAAATCGTACACAGTACATTCGCCTAGCATCGTGCGAAATCGTTTCTTCATATACACGCGCAATCCGGAGATACAGACTAAAACGTACGACACGATTCTCCATTCTGTTGCCAGCAACCCGAATGTATAAACCGCCTAACTTGAAACAAAAGGCAGCTAGGTCAAAGATTAGCTCGCCGAGTCACTGTGGCCGAGTGTTGCGTCGATATACAATCTCCCAGCGCCACACCGCATTGCCGAGGGCGTAAGAGTGCGCAAGAGTCGTAGGTATTCTAAGGCTAGTGAATGACGAATTTCCCTTGTTTATTGAAGTCACACTCGTTCCCTATTATCTACTTCTGATATGTTTGTACTTGTACGTTTGTACGCGTACCGGCGCCACGAAATGAAACCATATTATCACATCGCTATTCGCCGCTATTCCGCGGTAATTTCAGCAGTTCTCGAGAGAACTGCATTAATTAACTTCCGCGCTTCCGTGTAAATACTAAATACGATTCTCGCCCCCGCACCCGCCCCGACCCCTCCCGAAACAAGCTGCACGTATACAGGTAATTATAAATACGGAGCGGGGAGGCTAGACGCCTGCTGGCTGGCGTGCGTCGATGACGTCACGCGGGCCGGCGATCGGGGATGGCTTCCAGTTCCCGCATGCGGGGATTGTGGCGAGCATTCATGACCCGCACAGCCGCGCCCTGCAATCCTCTCCCACGCTCTCTCTCACACACACACACTCGCTCGCTCATACACAACACTCATACGCGTACTCTCGCTCTCTCACACATACACACGCGCGCGCATACACACGCGGCCCTTGTGCGCGAAGAAGAAGCTCGCCGGCATGCTAATGATGTGGAACGCGAGCTGGCGGCAGCTGTATGCACAGCCGCACAGCATTTGCCGTGCGCGCCCGGCTCGGTGCGTGCCACAAATAGCTCACTGCAGTTTGCCAGCTTCGGGGCGGCGGGATGCGCGCGTATCGATTGGCGGGGGCTGGTGTGTGTGTGTGTGCATGTATGCGCGTACGTGTATACGAGGGTACGGCCGTCGCACGAACTGTACCTCCCGATAATGTTGAGGCGGCGTACGGCACCGAGGTACTGCTATAGCGGCGCTACGAAAGAACTGCGGCGAGGCGTGTTTACAGAAGATCGGGGCGGTGGATTCTGAGCGGGTTTCCGCGCGGGGGAGAGGGATGCTGAGCGAGTTATCACACGGGAGAGGGATGCGGAGCGGGTTATCACGCGGGGAGAGGGATGCTGTGTGGGTTATCACGCGGGGAGGGGGATGCTGTGTGGGTTATCACGCGGGGAGGGATGCTGTGTGGGTTATCACGCGGGGGAGAGGGATGCTGTGTGGGTTATCACGCGGGGGAGGGATGCTGTGTGGGTTATCACGCGGGGAGAGGGATGCTGTGTGGGTTATCACGCGGGGGGAGGGATGCTGTGTGGGTTATCACGCGGGGAGGGGGATGCTGTGTGGGTTATCACGCGCGGGTAGGGAGAGCGAAACAGACGGGGATGCTGTGTGGCGTTATACGCGGGGGGAGAGCGACTGCCCTGTGTGGAGTTAATCAACGCGGGGGGGAGAGGGATGTGTGGTGGGTTATCACGGCGGGGAGAGGGATTGCTGTGTTGGGTTATCACGGGGGGGAGGGATGATGTGTGGGGTTATCACGCTGGGGGGGGAGGGTGCTGTGTGGGTTATCACGCGGCGGGGAGGGGGATGCTCAGCGCTGTGTGGGCGTTATCAGCGGGAGAGCGGATGCTGTGTGGGTCTATCAGCGCGGGGATGGATGCCGTGTGGGTTATCACGCGGGGAGGTGGATGCTGTGTAGGTTATCAACGCGGGCGAGGAGGGATGCTGTGTAGGTTTATTCACGCGGGGGAGCGAACAGCTGTGTGGTTATCACGCGGGGATGGATGCTGATGTAGGTTTATCACGCGGGGAGAGGGATGCTGTGTGGGTTATCACGCAGGGAGGGGATGCTTGTGTGGGTTATCACGCAGGGATGGGATGCTGTGTTGGGTTATCCCGCGGGGGAGAGGGATGCTGTGGTAGGAGAGGGATGCTGTGTGGGTTATCACGCGGGGGAGGAGGTAAGCTGTGTTGGGGTTATCACGGTGGGGGAGAGGGATGCTGTGTGGGTTATCAAACGACGGGGAGAGGGATGCTGTGGGTTATACGGCGGGATGAGAGGATGCTGTGTGGGTTATCACGCGGGGAGAGGGATGCTGTTGTCGGGCTTATCCACGCGAGGAGAGTGCGATGCTGTGTGGTTATCACGCGGGGGGACGGCGATGCTGTGTGGGTATATCATGCGAGTTGAGCGTGCATGCTGTGTGGTTATCACGCTGGGGGGAGGGATGCTGTGTGCGCGTATATCACGCGAGGTGAGAGGGATTGCTGTGTGCCGTGTGAGCGTTTATCCACCGCGGCGGGGATGCTGTGTGGGTTATCACGCGGGAG